TCTGTCTGTCTCTGTCTCTCTCTGTCTGTCTGGCGAGCCCACGTGCCCTATAGCAAAAATCTCTCTCAAAAAAAAAAAACAACCTCTCTTAAGCATAATTTATTATAATCCTTAGTTTTCATTTCTAAATAAAAGTACTACTCATTATTTAGGATAAAATAGTATTTGTAATATTAGTAAATTACCAACATTAACACAATCCAATTATAACATTTGTTTTGCAACTTCTTTATTCCTTTAAGGGAAGGCAGCTGTGTATAATTTTGCAGATTAGCATTGTTATCATTTAGATTTGTTAACATACAATCTTACTAAAAATTGCTAGCAGAACCATAATTTGAGTATTTTTTAATTAACTCAATTACAAGTTTAGTAAACAATTTCCTGTTGAAACATGCAATTATTTTATGATGGAGTAAACAAAAAACTAACGCACTTATAAAGCAATAAGAATAAAAATATATACTTCAGGGGTCAGCAGGTGGCATAGTAGTTAAGGAGCTGGACTCCTACATGGCCAACCGTGGTTTGAGTCCTTGACCTGGAGGCCTGCTTTCTCACTTTCTCTCTCTGGCCAAATTAAAATAAATTAAATAAAGTTAAATAAAATAATTCTTTCAAAAACGTACTTCAGGGACCAGCAGTTGACGTAATGGCTATGTCACTGGACTCCCATGTAATCAACCATGGTTCAAGTCCCAGACCTGGTGGCTTAAACTGATGCCAGGTAGGTGTACGTGTATGCCCAAGATCCTGAGAGAATGGAAGAGAAAGGATTGCGGCATGGCCATCCCCACTGGAGGGGTGATTTCTCGCTTTCTGTCTGTCTGTCTGTGTCTTTCTGGTGAGTGTACATGCCCTATAGCAAAAACCTCTCCCCCTCAAGTAAATGTACTTCAATATCTACCTATCTATTTATTTATAAAGTTTTTGCCTTAGGGCATGTATGCTCGCCAGAGATAGAAACAGTGAGAAGCAAAGTGAGAAATTGCCCCCTGGGGGGATGACTATAGCATGATTCCTCCATTCTCTCCCCATTTATCTTGAGCACATACACATCTGGCATGGTTTTCAAGCCACAGGGTCTGGGACTGAAAACATGGTTGGCCTTGTGGGAGCATAGCAACATAACTGCTACGCCATCTGCTAGCCACATGTACTTTACTTTTTAAAGTTTAGTTCCAGTCTCCATATCCCTTCTCCAATCGTCCTGAGAAATGTTCACATATAGAAATGTTCACTTTCTAAGCTAAATAATGCGATTGAATGTATAAAAAAAAGTAAAAAAAAATATAAAAAAACTAAAAAAGAAAATTAAAAACAAAATAATAATAAATAAAATTAAATAAATAAAAAAATAAAGTTTAGTTCCAGCTAAAAATAATCTTTTAATCTTTTCTTTTTTCTTTTTTTTTAAAATTTCACTATACAGCTTGTGTGCTTGCTGTATAGAAAGAGACAGAGAAAGAGGGAAATCATCCCCTGGGGGATGGTCACACCACAATCCCTTTTCCATTCTCATCTTGTGATTCTGGGTGTGAGCGTGCACGTGCCCAGCATATTTTTAATGCCACTGGGTAGGGAAAAACTATTCATTCAGCCATGTGGAATCCACCTGCCTTAACCACTATGTCACCTGCTGGAACTGAAAACTATCTTTTAATTACCATATCTTAACAGTTCCTCATTGTACACCCTTGCTTTTTAACTGTGTAAGTGAAAAATATATAATATTTTAAAATGCTGGTAGCATTTGCCATAAGGCTACTTTCATCTGTCTTCTTTCTATATGAAGATGAGTGAAATTCAAATAATTATGTGAACACTTTTTGAGTATATAAGTTTCTTACCCAGCCAACATGGTATAAAACAGGACTCCTAAACTCCAAATATCACAAGCAGCATCATATCCCTGTTGCATAAGAACCTACGAAAGAAATATTCATTATGGAGTATTACTCAGTTTAAACTCAATTTTCTCATCTGGAAAAAAAAATAAAGTTGTTTTGCTTCTTACTAGAAGAACCTCACAAAAGTTCATAATATAAAGCATAAAACATTTTATTTACTTCATGATAAAGGTAAAGTCTTCTACCAGCAAAGATTGAATGTCTTCATGAATTTTTCATATGATAATTTAGGTACTTGTTTTTTACTATTGGGACCAGTGTTAATACAATTCAAATAGGGACCCAAAATCTTGAGAGGAGAATGGAGGCAAAGAGATTGTGGCATGGCCATCTCCCCTCCAAGAGGGGAGTGTTATTGCTTTCTGTCTCTCTGCCTTTCTTGATCTCTCACACACCCTAGTGGAAAATTCCCTTAAAAAAATCAAATAATACCTTTATTATATATTCAAGTGAGATTTCTCTATGAAGTTAAGAGAATTTGTTCAAAAAATAGAAAAATGAAATGAAGTCAGCATTGTTTTCTTAAGAAAAATAAGCCCACTGCTAAAGCCTCTAGGTATAGGGACAAAATAGAAACATTATTAATGCATTAACACTGAGGATTGCATAAACACCAGCATGGGCTTTTCATATATTAAAATGGCTAAAAATATTAATGTTTGGCTTTGACAACTGTCAGACATTATGAATATGCAACTAACTTAACATTCAAGATACATTTTTTCTTAGACAAATTGTTTTTCAACTTTCACATGTGCAAAAGTTGAGAAATCAAAGAGATATCAAAAGCATGTATCAATGGTTCACGTAATTGAGTAGGAATTACAATGGCCCTAGTAAATAATGAGGTATCGCAAAACCACTAGCATTATAATAAACCTAAGATGACATATTCTAGTAAAATATAAAATTGTACCCTTTTTATTACCCTATGAACTTCCTTTTCTCATCACCTTTTACATTTCTGGGCTTCACCACGTTCTCCTTGGTTCTCTTAAGAAGCTTTTTAGAGCTTCTCAGGTGATCCAATGAACAGCTGAGGTTGAGGGCCACTGCTCAGAAACTAGTTGGACAGGTGTTAATTAGCAAGTCAGTTAAAGGTATTTTATACTCACATAACCTTCCTAGTAATGAGAAGGACAGAGTTATACAGGGAAGCCAACTTGCTTAACTAGGGCCAACCACTTAAGACTTGTTTCAAATTTACTGAACACAGGAACCAGCAGGTGGTGTAATGATTACGTCACTGGACTCCCACATAGTCTATTATGGTTTGAATCCCGGACCCAGAGGCTTAAAACTCATGCCAGGCATGTGTGTGTGTGCATGCCTCAGATCCTGAGAAGAGATTGCAATATGGCCATACACACTGGGGGTGATTTCTTGGTTCTTGTCTCTTTGTCTTTCTCTCTCTGGCTAGCACACACACCTTATAGCAAAAAATTCTCTCAAACAAACAAAAATCAAACCAAATTTACTGCACACTTAAGGAAACATATTTTGTATGGAGAAAGAAGAGGCAGTCAACTTTTGTTCTAGCATTCATTGCCTAAATAGTGAAAACATGCCTTTTTGTTTAATGATTTTAAAATTTACATTTAATAACTATACATATTTTTTAAAGATTTATTTATTTAATTCCATTTGTTATTATTATTATTTTTTTAATTTGACCAGAGAGATACAAAGAATGAGAGAGAAGGAAAGCAAAAAAGCAAGCCACCAGGTCCAGTCCCCGAACTGCAGTTGACCACGTGGGAATCTAGTGCCCTTAACCACCACGCCACCTGCCGGCCCCAATAACTGTACATCTTTACAGTGTACACCATGGTTTTTACCAGCATGAATATGGTGAATATTAGTCAAGTTAAAGACATTGCCATAAATATTATCATCAAAAAATGTCTTAATGCTCAGTAACAGAAAATGCAGTCATAAAAGAAACAAGGCAGGGTGGTGGGATGAATAAAAGAGTACAGTACAGAAGCTGTGTTTCACATTTCTTTACTTGAATCAAGTTAAGTACAAAGAAGATAAAAGTCAAAATTAAACTAGTCAATGCCATAACCTTTTCAAATGGCTTTCCAAATCAGCAAAAAGTAACATAGAGAAATTCTCATTCTCTTTGCTCTAAGGTTCAAATTAATTCATACTGGAAGCAAAACATATGACATCCCAAAGCCAGAGCAAAACAGCGTAACTTCAAAATTATGGTCATACCTGGGGTAACCCAGAGGAACTGGTTCCAGGATCCCCAACAGATACCAAAATCCATAGATGCTCAAGTTCCTTATATAATGTGGCATAGTATTTGCACATAATCTATGCACATCTTCCCTAATACTCTAAATCACTAGATTACATATAACACCTGACATAAGAAACTTTCAAAAAGTTGACGGAAATGCATATTACAAAAAATGATGAATGAATTTCAAGCTACTTTTGCACGAAACAGTTCATATTTTATTCCATTTTTCAATAAACTTTCTCATGTTCTCTTTTACAATAAAAATGCCACTGGGTTGTCGGAAAATCATAACATATTTTTTCTATGCATAAGTACATTAAGATTCTTCTGACAGCCCAATATATAAATAGTTGCTATATTGTACTGTTTGGGGAATAACAGCAAGAAAAAGTGTACACATGTTAAGTATACATATATGTAATTTTTTCCAAATATTTTTGATCTGCAGTTGGGTGAATCTGTGGATTGTCCTACGATAATCATGAATCAATAGATACTGAGGGCTGACTGTACTTTATCAAGAGCAATATACAGTATTTCTCACCTTTACTGTAAGCTCCACTAATTCAGTAACATTCTTATATTTCACTTGAATAATATGGATTTTCTTTAATAAGAGAATAAAATATTTTGGAGATATATTAAGTTTTGCAACACAGGTATAGCAGGAAAACCCACCTACTAAGTAAATTTTCACTGCTTGATAAAACTGAGGCATATCCCTAAAAGTCAGTAAATATTTTTGTCTTTTATGTTCAGCTAAAATGATGATACTCAGTTGATGTTTTACCAAACACTCTTCATTTATTGAAATGTCTTCATGAATACTTGAATTTTTCTCACTCTCATTTAAAAGAGAATGGATTTTATATACTTCACTAATATGTTTTGAAAAGGTCTAAATTTTTCCAAACAAACCTACCAATAAAAGCATCTGATTAATTTGTAACAATTTACAATTATTTACTGATTATTAGCAGGAGCTTTAGCACTCAGTAATAAAACTTTTCAAAGCATTTTGAAAATACAAATACTAGCCAAAGGCAGTTTAGGCACTAGTTATGAAGAAGTGGTCACCACATACCCACCTGAAAACTTTCGCTATTACAATGGTAGAAGTGTCTTACTACACTGGAAGTCTGTTAGGATAAAAAACATTAATGGGCTGTATTTTACTCTGTGGATTTTCACTCATTTAAAAATGTCTGCCTAACCACTAATCTAAAAATGTTTACCTAACCATTAATCTAAACACAAACACACTGTATATTTTTCATTTTAATGTCTGTTTTCAAGCTGTTCATTTGGGACACATTCACCCTTAACCTTTTTCTAATGAGAAGTTTCATAATACCAAGGGATCTAGGCCCACAAATTAAGTCGATATTAAGAATACGGCCATTAAAGTGACTATTACATATTCTGTTGTTATGTTACTGCATAAATCTGTTAGAATATTTATATATACCACATATTTAACAGAAGAATGCTAATCTCAAAATTCTCTCATACTGTCCTATAAAGTCATAGAAATATTCTAGAACAGGGCCAGCTTGGTAGCATGGTGGTTGAGGCAGCTGGATCTCACATGGCCCATTGTGTGGCTCAAGTGCTGGACCTGGTGGCTTCAAAAAAAAGCTAGACATGTGTGCCCAAAATCCTGAAATGGGGAGAAATGGAGGAGAAGGGATTATATGACCATTCCCCATGAAGAAAGCCTTTGCACTTCCCCTCCCTCTCCACAAGTGAGTGCACAAGCACTTTGGTTAATTAAAAAAAAGAGGTATCTTAGAAAGGCTAATATTTTTATGTCTAGGCTATTATCTCATATATTAAGCAACAGAAAATTAAGCCCCTGTTGAATTATGTGCCTAAATTTTTATTTTGGGAAATACAGTTTCGATATGTTATAAATATGATAAAAACATGTACATACATCATTCAATGAATTTCATTAAAATATAGTTAAAATCACATTCTCTGAATATACACACAATTTATTAAAGGGCACATCTCTCTTATAAAAGTCTTATAATGCATGTGTTATCCCTGTTCCTCAATATCAATATCTTAAGGCAACATAAGAATTTTTCATTGTTAGAAAGTTACTTTTCTGTATTTCCATTTTTATTAGAAACAGACTGTTTTTCAAGTAGCTACTTTAAAAATTCAGATTCAGATTTCTATGAAAAAATTTCTGGAAGTAATGCACGAATACAGTAAAGCTGCAGGATACAAAATTAATATACAGAAGTCTATAGCGTTTCTATATACAAATAACAGGCAGACTGAGATAGAACTGAAAAAAAGTTATTCCATTTACCATAGCCACTAAAAGTAGAAGATACTTAGGTATTAATCTAACCAAAGAAGTTAAAGACCTCCACAAGGAAAACTATGAGAAGCCAAAAAAAGAAATTGAAAATGACACAAAAAAGTGGAAGGACATCCCATGTTCCTGGATTGGAAGAATTAATATAACCAAAATGGCAATTCTACCCAAATTAATCTACCTATTTAATGCAATGCCAATCAAAGTACCAGACACATTCTTCACAGATCTAGAAAAGACAATCATAAAATTCGTCTGGAATAATAAAAGACCCCGCATTGCCAAAGCAATTCTGCAAAAGAAGAGTGGAGTGGGTGGCATATCACTCTCCAACCCAAAAATATACTATAAAGCTGTAGTAATCAAAACAGCATGGTATTGCCACAGGAACAGATATATGGACCAATGGAACAGAACTGAGTCCACAGGAATAAATCCCCAATCATTCAGTAAACTGATTTTTGACAAGGGGTACCAGTCAATCCAGTGG